ACCCATGACTTAAGCGTTGGGGTCAAAACAATTTTTAGGGCCTGGGGGAAGCAGAGAGTTAATCCCCATCTACCTGACTGCCTCAGCCTCCAGAGGAAGATGTGGGTTGTGTGATATACTTCTAGAGGTTAAAATGTTCCAGGCTGGGTGACTCAGGGAGTCGTAAGTGTTGTGTTTAAAAGCTGAATGTATAAAGCCATCTTCAGTCGGCCAATTCCAGCTGGTAACCAAAAAGTGAAATGGGGCGCCCGGGGGGGCGGGGCGGGGTATGCTAATGAGGGTGGGTGCATGCAAATGAGGCCTAATTTATGCAGATTCACCCCTGCATGCAAATCTATGCAAATGACGGCGGCCATATGCAAACGAGGCCTGGTTTATGCAGATTCGGCTCCTGCATGCAAATCTATGCTAATGAGGGCTGCGTGTATGCAAATGAGGCCCGGTCTATGCAGATTCGCCCCTGCATGCAAATCTATGCTAATGAGGGCCGCGTGTATGCAAATGAGGCTCAATTAATGCAGACTCACCCCTGCATGCAAATCTATGCTAATGAGGGCAGCCTTATGCAAACGAGGCCTAATTTATGCAAATCTAGCCCGCCGTGACACTGTGCCCGGCATGCAAATGCATGCAAATGAGGGGACGTCCATGCAAACGAGCCCTGCGGCATGCTAATATATGCTAATGAGGCCCGGCCCATGGGCGGTATGCTAATGAGTCCGGGTCAAGTTCTCACTTATCTCCGGTTGGCCAATTCCAGCTGGTAACCAAAAAAGTGAACCTGGAGTGGGGGGCAGGGCTGGAGAGAGAGAGCAACAATTAAGAGCATTTGCCTGCTCTTCCCGAGGACCCGACTTCTTCCCAGCACGGATGTCGGCTGTCTCACAGACATCTGTTAACTCGAGCTCTGGTGGATCTGATGCCCTCTTCTGATCTCTATGGGCGTTTCATTCATGTGCATGAGCGCACACACACACACACACACACTCACACACACACACACACACACACACACACACTCACAGTAGGAGAGGGGGGGAGAAAGAAGGGTTAAGAATCATAAATATTTTTTTTAAATAGAGTAAGGAACAAAGAAAAAGTACTGGTGTCTCATTCTACCGATGTTTAGAGGCCAAATTTTGTGTCTCCAAAAGGCCAGTGGGACCCAACAATGGCCCAAAGGTTCTTATA